TTGTTGGTTCCTATTTGTTAATTAGTCGGTCGGGCGACTTCCGAGATCGCCAATCGGCGACGATCTCTCGCTTTGGTCGCCTCGTCCGATTTTTCGGGGAAGGAAAAAGGGAGAGTGTTGTCTTTTGTGATCACGCCGCATAGACCCCTTGTTGTTTGTTTGTAATAAAAATGCCGGAGTTTCTATTTGCGCCGGTCGCTCTAATTTTTATGACCGGCATTTTCGTGACCCGGAGATATCCGGGTTTGTTTGGAAAGCTGCTCAAATAGTTATCTAAAATTTTGTGTTATTGCTAGGCGCAGTTTATCTTTCCGGGCACCGATATAGTTTTCGTTTGTTCTCCTATCGTCTGGAGTTTTAAGTTTCCAAACGATAGGAGACCCGTTTGAATTATTTATTATTATTGACCAAAAAAAAAAGAGTTGCTATGCGCTGGCGCGTCGCGTCGCAGGAAAAAAGGGGACCGTGGAGTCTCCAGGACGTAACATATTATATATGATAGTTGTACTCACTGAAAAGGAGATTTTTAAGCACTTATTAAAATATTTAAAATATTGTAAATGCAAAAAAAGTTAAAAAATAAAAATCACAAAAAAAATATAAAAATGTACAAATTAAAAACCTCAATTTAGTTTTTATATTTTTACCCGAGGGGTGCGGGGGGAGGGGCGAAGCTCTAGGTTAGGTTAGATTTTCGAATAGTGGAGCCCCTCCGTAGGGGGGGCGGAACGCACTGTTTCCACGCATACACTTTCTACGAGAAACGAGGTTTTAAATAAGAAATACAACTAAAATCGATTTAGTCAATATAGTTTTTATATTTTTTAAAAATATGTTTTTTATTTTTCGAAGTTGGGACTATGTTCGTTTTGTTTGTCCCATCAAACACTATTTTTGTGCAAAATTTCAGATTGATTGGGACAAGAAATCATTCTGAAATACACCTAAAATCGATTTCAGTCGATATAGTTATTATTTTTTTAAAAATTTGGTTTTTATTTGCCGAAGTGGAGACTACGCGCGTTTTATTTGTCCCATCGAACACTATTTTTGTGCAAAATTTCAGATTGATTGGGAGCAGGGGTCATTCGGAAGTATATCCCAATTACAGCTGTTTCACGATGAATACATTACTGTAGGTAACAACGAAATACTGTACTACCTACGCCATGTCTTGTAAAACACTACAAATTAATTCCAACACCTAATATATTGTAACCACATACATTTTAAAACACCATTTCATAGATCAATTAAAAAGGACTAAAAATATATAGTCAAAACGTCTTGATTTGAAATATCACGTCTTTTATTAATTTGCACACCAACCTGCACTGGCTCCACACAGCTGTTTTATTCAAATTTATATTGGAATTACCAATAAGAGCCGAAGTTCAGTACCTTATTTTTCAACATATTTTACGATATTCTCAAGATAAAATATGTTGTGTGTACAGATGTCCGACAGCACAGATGTGTAAAATATCCACCGAATAGTATTTGGACATTTTGAAATAACCAGTAGATATCCATGAGATATATTTAGAATATTTTGAATACATCTCCTAATGTGCAAAAGATATGCTGCTATATCCCTTGGCTTTGCATAAAATATCTCACGATATCTTATTGTAAAATCCTGGAAATTTCTTATTGGGATATCTCTGGGATTGCACTTGAAAATCCGAATCATTTTGGGATATCTGCAAGATAAAGTGTGCTGTGTTGGTGTGAGTTGAATTATTGTTTAATACCATCGCAATCAGTGAAGTATTTACCTAGAGATTACTCAGAAGAGTGTCCTTGACAACATATGTCAAGGTCATTGATTTCTAAGGGGTTGATTTTTTGTAAATATTTATCAATCAAACTTGTTAGAATTATTGGTTAAGGCGTTCTTAGACTTGTCGACTTTTTCTCTTGTAACGTACAATGGGTTTCAATAAAGAATACACTCAGTGTTATTACACAAACGCATATCCTTTAATTTCTGAATGTTTTACAAGTACTTATAACAAGTACACTCGTACACATGAACGAACGTTATATTATATAAAAAACTCAACTCGCACTAGCCTCGCAGCCAGACGCCCCGTCCGACAGAATAACGCACGCGGCGCATGCTCTATCACAGGCAATTATAAACGAACTCAACCAATACGAATTGACCCTACCACAACAAAACTTTATTTTACTTAACTTTTTACTAGATGATAAATTTTACTAGATGATAAATTTTTGAAAGACTACTGTCCGTTGTTAACAGTCGCTTTGACTCGATTGGTCACATCTCTGGACGCTTCTCTCACAGGTAACTAAAATTTTTGAATTTTTTTTTTGAATTGACATTTTATTTTTAAACACTTTTTATGCATTTCTACTAATAAAAGATACAGCAATATTAATTTTATACATCGTATTTAATACTATAAGTCTTGAGATTGACGCTTGGTATATTCTCGCCTCGATGACGCACACCGGTTATTAAGCGATGCCAATAAGAACAATACGCTCTCTTCAACTACTTCGCTTCACCAACCGTCGGTTCTCTAGACATTTTTTATACATGCAACAGCCTGACGGCGTGATTACGTAAAAGAAACCGTGCTCGTGTATAATTGTCATGCTAGCATCCTTACGTGGCTCGCGCAATTTTGCCTTCCCACGGCGCGAGCTAATTCCGTTGAAATACGAAAACTAAGGCAAATTTGTTCGTTTGTCGGCAAAAATGAGTTGTGAGTTTGTTACTCTGTATATCAGCCCAACATCGAAAATGAAGAACTTTCAAACCCTATATTTTATCTACAAAAATTATTATCCATATTTTTATAGATTTGTTGAAACTTGTGAATTGTGTGCAAATAAAACTAAATTATCATTATCCAGTGCACACATAAGTACATGTTTACGTGCATGTAAACTTTCACAAAACCTTCCATCGTATGTTGAAACATTTTACATCAAATGGGCCTCTTCTTGATATTAATCTGTAATCAGTCAGATTATATATATCACAGATTATCTTTTTATGAATTTTTAATGACTGTGAAACACGCGATAGAAAAAAACTTTTCTTCAGTTAGTTGAAACATATAAATACGCCTCTGTTCTTTTAATCAAATCTTAATGCTCAATAATAGCATATTGATACGGACGCGTTGAAAAAAAAAATAGTCGAACGACTCAAAAAGTGGACTCGAAAGCTATCTAATGACGGATTTCTAATGATGAAAGTCGAAGCATCAACTTTGAGTTGAGCAGTCTAGCTTTGGAACTTCAGAAATATTCTTGTAAGTAGGCAAACTGAGAAATATATAAGTGTGTATATATAAAACCTACGATTTAAAAAATCCGAGGATCACAGTTCAATGAATCATAAAGTAAAAAGGAATTAAAAATGATCAGTTAGTTTATATCGACGCGAATTAATTTGTAGCAAAAATATTGTCGATAACACATGACAACGAATAAAACCGCAACTTCTTACTCAAAGAATATATTTCTAATTAACCAATTATATTTGCCGAAAGAAACCATGAAGAAAACTACAAATAAGTACATAATAATTAACACTTTTCAAACAAAATGATGATTATTAAATTAACTAAGTTTGCTTCAAAAAAGATGAATAATGATAAAAGATAAATTATAAGTAAAAGTTTGTTACTTTTGTTCGTTTGTTCTGGAGCGCAAGATGGAGAAACTCGAAGATAAATTAACAGGAAAAATTCTAGCAAACAACACTCGCGTGTATGAGAAACGAGTTCCGAAACTTCGGCGAGAACAAGAGTAACATTTTATACGGTTACGATCGATTAATCGTGTTAGTTAACCTGTAGTCGCGGAATTTCCGAAATTAAAAAATGTTACGCTTAATTCATGCTCTGTTGCATCTAAACTCGTATACCAATATAACTTGCTGCAGAATATCAAATATCATGTAATTCGAACGACTTTTGCTTTTGCGAGCGGCTCTCCCGGTTCCGCATGAAAGAAGCTGAAAAATCATCGCCCGCATAACCGAGCCGTGGACATGGAACCGCATGTGTGTAATGCATAATGTTTGCAATACATCCAACGCCTTGCAAGCCACTATACGGCGAACGCGAATGACCGCGGTATGCTTCAAATATGTTGCTCTAATTCTTCGACGACATAAAGTCGTGCGGCTTCGTGGATTTTAAGCTTGAGCGGTATGTCGCGTTAATAATTACAGACATTTATCGCGAAAAAGTTTATTTATATGTATTATTTTTCGAGAAAAAAAATCCGATTTATGTTGATAAAAAATTTCCTTGTAAGAAAGTCAAAAGAAAATTACATAAAATATAATGAAAGAAAGTTTACTTGCCGTTTACTTACAACAAAGTATTTATATATAAAGAAATGCATTCTTTAACAGACAATTGACTCTATTGACAATAGTTTGCACGTTACGTAGTTTACTATGTATTTCAATATGAGACGAGGCTGATAAGAACTGCTGTGAATCTTGCGCCTGTTTTTGCGACTGAGAATTGTAACCTTGAATTACTAGATAAATGTGTAAAAAATTATTCCGATAATAAAGCAATTTGTCGCAGTTTTAAAGAAAATTTAAAAAAAACTATTTTCAAATGTATAAAAACTACAATTTTAGAAAATCGTATAACAAAGAAAAAATAAAAAACTTCAGATTAGATGTAAGCAGGTGTTATATTTCAAAGATAATACATCAACTTGTGTGCTGCAACACCACTTTAAACCGCGAAAAAGAATTACAAGTTTGCTTCAGCGCAAATGCAATTTCGAGAGCTTTAAATAAAGAGCAATTAACGGCTAAACGCGGCGTCGCTAGTGTAGATTATCACGGTCTCAAAAAGTGAACGCGTGAGATTTCGTGATAAACGACATGCGTTCTCTCTCGCAAAAACGACCGATTCCCCACTAGGAGAAGCCACATAGGTTCATGTACACACAGGTGAACGACGATGGTAATGACGCGGTGTCGCCTCTGAACTCGCAACCAGTCGCGAGCGAGCGGTGCGAGTGATGTAGAATTTCGTGCGATGCGCGTTTGATGAAATACTTACGGATTCGAAAAACAGAAAAGAGAGATATACGCACACGTAAAACGTGACGAAAGTGCCGCGAAAGGAGAGAGAAAAATAAAGTGTGAAGAAAAATACGGCGAGACCTTTAAATTATTCGGCAAATTTACAGGCGTTTTCCCGATTTCGCCTGACGACGACACGAGTATATAATCAGCAAAGACATTCTGATTGATAAAAGCGCGTGTTCCGACGAAGAAACAGATGAACAGAGAAAAGATTGATAGAAGTTTATTGTGTGGAATTGAATTTCCATTTGTGAAAACGTTGTACCTGTAATGTTAACGAAAGAATTAAATTATTTGGATTAAAAAAGTTTAAAACATAGTTAAAATAGATATTTAGAATATAGTGTTATTTCTTAAATACTTCTTAATCTTTTACATTAATGACATTTCGAAGAGAGTCGATACAATTTTGCGGAAGACACTCCTGCTGCTTTTGTCTGTTTCTCCATTCAAAATGAATAAAAAAGTGTAATATATATGATATATATACAACACAATATATACAGATAAACAATATATATGTAATCACACATGTTGTATTTAACGAGAGTAAATTTATTGGTCGATCTTTATTAGGAAAGGCAAGATCGATCATTTCTTAGAAAATCATCGATAAAAACCGAGAAAATGATGTTCTCATACGTTTTACAGTGCAATAAAACATCAATCAAGGTCATTACGATATATAATTACGGCGGAGCAGTAATTATCGGTGGAGCGGAAGAAAAAGAAGGCAAATCTTCTCACATTTGAGAAATTAATTCGGAGAAGAGAACACGTTTGGATTCACTGGCACTTTTGATTCCACTTTGCTCACATGAAGTATTCCGATAGATAATTTACTTTTTGCAAAGCATAGAAGTTGACAAAAATATGTTGAGGTTTAAAGTTTACACGTTCAGATCGTTAAAGCAAGCACGTGTTTTTAATCGATGCCATTAAGAACACAGAAAGTAAATCGTGAAAGAATTCTCACGTACCAAAAAAAGAGTGAGCTTTCATTACTATTGCATGAATGAGCTTTTATTAACCATGTGACACAATCGAGCAAACAAAATTCTGGTTTTGGGCCGTATGAATAAAAAAAAGCATAACCTTGTCCTTCAAGTTTTAGAAGCAAACCCTCAAAGTTCAATAAGTAAAAATTTTGAGCAAACTGAGGATTTGCTCTTAAAACTTGAAAGATAAGATTATGCTTTTTTTATCCATACAGCCTTTCGAGAAACTTATAACAACTGAATTGACACAATGACGTTTTACCGAGACATTTTTGCAATTTCAACGTGTTTGAAGTAATTTTTGTGGAAATCTTTTTCAGCATATATTTTTGAAAGAGATATGATCGCCGTACATAGTTCGTATCATTCAAAATTCCACAAAGATATAAGTTTGTTACATACTTCGAACGCTTATCTTGCAAGAACAGTAAAAATATTTATATGTTGGATATTTAAACAATGCTGCACTACGTTTTGTTGTTTGTAAATCTATTTTTTCCGCGACTTTCATGTATAGAATGCGCTTTTTTTAAAATTATGTAAATTGTATGTTTATTAGAACTACAAATATACAAATTCCGTAAAAACTGTACTTTTCGCACTAACGTTATGTCATGCGATTTTATGTAATGTCACTGCAATTACATAAGATTTCTGTGTATATCATATGTGATTTTCACGTACCAAAGTCATGCATGCGCAAAACATCATTACACACTTAATCACATTTGTCATCGTAACGTCTCTTCGGAGACGTTTAAAAAATACAAAACTAAATAAATTTTGCGCGTTTGAAAGAAATTTCAAAGTTCAAAGCGGCACATTATCAAGCACATTTCATTGCATATTCGCTATGCTAATGAGAAGGTAAAGGTCGTTTGTGTAAAAAAGAATGGAAAACAACACATGTGCGCAATCGTCGCGCGATGCTCGATTGAGCATGTGCTAAATGCTCTGTGCAAAATTTTGATACAATAATTAATAGAATTTATATTCCAATCATCATATTCAACATCTATGACGTTATTAGTACGTACAGATAATTATTAACATCTCTCTGTCTCCGATTTGAAAAGCGACGTGACCGAAAAAAAACGTAGTTATCGTTATCGAAGGCATTGCGAGAGAGATAGCGAAGCCTCGATGAATAAAATACCGACGTTGCTGATAAAACATGCGATGTCTATATATGCGTGCTGAATAACTGATTCAGTGCAGTCTGAGACTTTCTGAAGAATCTTTGGACAAGAGAACATTGAAGAATAGGAGGAAAAGAGCTAACAGTTAGTTTAGTGATACTATGTGAAAGGTGTGTGCAACAACAATTTGACGAGATGTTGATGTTAATTGGCGGTCTGATCGTCGCCTATTTTGTCTACATTCTGATTTCAAGGAATAATGGTAAATATCTCTTTTTCGAACTCATAAATAACTTACTTTTTTCTCGAACATTTATCTTACAATAATTATGCTTAATTATGATCTTCTTATGTTTCTGCAAGTTTGTTTCTGTTTTGGAATGGTCGATGAATTTATTTTGAAAAGTAAAAAATTACAGCAAAAGTATAAAAAGAGAAATTAAGAAAAATAAAGTAAATTTAAGCTGTAAAATTTGTTGCGGTAAGTCAGATTAATCACAATAAACTTCGTTAAATTTGTTAGAGTTTGTTGTTATCAATTATACTCATATCTGTGTTTGTGAAGATATTGAATCAATATTTACTATCATAAATTCCTTTTAAAAGTAATGATTAGTATAAAAGTGCGCTGTACTGATACAATATAATATTATGCAAGTGAATATATAGGTGTAATGATCATCTGTTATATATATATATACATACAAAATACGCAACAAACATCCAGCGTATAGATCTCTCATTGACCGAAAATTTCACGTTGTTTGAATTTTAAGAGCCTTAAAACTGTTTATTAATTTTTGACATATTGGCTCACAAAATCAAATTAATCTTTGCTAGTTTATAAACTATATGAGCTAAAATTTGTTGTAATTTTATGCTGGTTAAAAAATGCATACTTCGTCAATTATAAGTCATCCAAATATTACAAGAAATTGATCTAGTATCTTGGTGACCGGTAAGACTTCAGATCTTCCGTGCGGAATGCGAGAGATCTGAGTTTGATTCCTGGCCAAGATGTTTTTTTCACAATGGATTTTTTAATTTTTATAATAAGATAAAGTAGGTATTTTATCTTTATGTATCAAGTGTTTTATCTATATGCAAACCAAGTATTCTAGATGAATTTCCAAATTGAAATTAATTTAAATTAATATGTGTATTATGTATATACATATGTATATTTATACGTTTCAAATAAAATAAAATTACATTTCGCGAACATCTAGCATATTGGCTTACAAAACCGAATTAATCGTCGCTAGTTTGCAATATATCTGATGTTTTATTTTTTTTATTTTTATATTTTTAAAAAATTTTGTTCTACTTTCTTAGCTGCGCGCACATTGTTCTCAATGAAGCCTGTTTAAATGAACGAATTTTTTGTTTCTCATTCATTGTTTTGTTCTCAGCAAGTCATCTTTCGCACGAAATTGAGTCGTTCCGTTCTCGCAAGAACGCCATTCTCTCTCTTCCTCCTTCCCTCTCTCTTACTTACTGTGTACAAAACTGGTCCAGTAACTTCTTCCCCGAGATTGCCAATCGATCGACCATTTATAACATTGCGACTGAACGAAAAAGAGGAAATGTAAAGCGCAACGGTTTTACGACTTCCGTTATCCGAATTTTTGCGCGGAAAGTTTGCGCGCATTCATTTTATATAGATATATTGTTGTGATACTACGCAAGATTCTGAATGACTGCTGGGATTTCTTTGAAAGGACGCATTTCTCATATTAAAGTACGCTTGTTATCACGTTAATTTACGTTTACCTACGAAATTATTCGCGTAAATAAAAAAGCATCTATTTAAAATTGTAAAGCCTTGTCTTAATAGATAGCGGTAAATAACGTGCTGTATAAAATGGATTTTTCAAACAGAAAATTTTTACGAAACATTAAAACAAAGAGCGCAAACTTTTTTCTCTTATAACAATCTATACTCTCTTATAGTAATTTACAGTTTATACCACATCAACATTAGCGACGTCAAATTTCATTTTAATGCTACCATCAATTACAGAAGGAAACTTATATTGTATATTTTCTTCAATTCAAAACGATTATACCGCACTACATTACTTGTACAAAAAAGTGATAGATAAATAAAAAATAAGTGATTTTATCGATTTTTATATTATCATTAACGGATGGAAAACGATTTATGTATGCAGCGGGGCTAATAATATATGACTAATGATTAAGATCGGACCGCGCGTGTTTGATAATTGACCTTTACCTTCCCTTTGTCCAAGATCAAGACTAACTAATCTTAAGAAGATAGATATCTCTCCGATTATATGTTTGTAAAGAACGGTTTACGAATCCGAGAAAGAAAGAGAGAGAGAGAGAGAGAGAGAGAGAGAGAGAGAGAGAGAGAGAGAGAGAGAGAGAGAAAGCACTCGTGACGTGTTTATTTGCAAATGACAAAGATTCATCTCTGGAAGTATTAATCGTTCTACAAAGAATATCATAAATACCAAACACGCATTTCATTTCGATATATAGTTCTGATTCTTAGACTAAAGTATTCTGCGATTTATACAGGGTGTATGAAAAATTGCCCATTGGATCACATGTATTATTTAATCACTCAATAACTATAGTAAAGTTTGCAAAATGGTACATGACTTTTCAGTTCAGATTACTCCAATCTACCTTCACACTTCGGCTGTGTCAAAATTTTTCAGACACCCTGTATAATGTTGTGAATAATTATAAACTTAAACACTTTTTCTACTTTCTTTCCTTAACATTTACGGAAAACAGTTGATCATGTCAAAATATGAATTGAATATTAGGAAAGAAAAGTTTTAGTTGCATAATAAGAACTTTTGTATATAAACAGCTTTGTGTTATTTGACTGTACGTATTTATCTTACTTAATGTTACAACGCACGATTACTACGACTGTGAATATTTTGTCCCTCTCTACGTATAATTTCATAACATAAATTTTAGAAGAGAGAACAGTTTAAAGGTTTGAAACTTCATATATTTCCTTAGTTAAGGGATTCTTTTGATTTCAAATTTTTACTTATGAATATTTTTTTAAATATTTGATCTTAAAGAACATGAGTTTCTAAGTGTCACTATGCAATAAACTGAAAATCCCGTATGCAATACTTTAGTAATTATACGTAGGGAGTTACAATTTATAAACACAGTTGCTGTTCATTGACAATAACTCCGCGATTTCGTTAGCTTTATTCAGTAAAATAGCATTATTAAAAGTATTTTTGTACGAATTCTTAAACATTGTTTGCTTTACTCTATGCCGCGTTGCCCAAAACTTACAAGTTCAGTGATTGTTACTGATTTAGGAAAACAATTCGATTTGAGGAGTTGTGAGAAAATTCAACGAGAGAGTGCATCTATAATAAATAGGTCAGAATGTGTAATAAAGACGGAGCTTCTTTATCTCAAATTATAAACCGATTTAATTAAAAATGTGACGCTAGTCTTGTAAGAAAGTGCCTTGCAGTCTAAAATGTTTTTAAAATTTGTTATCAGCAGCCAGCAAAACCCCCATGTTTGAAATTTTAAATTATTAAACAGATATAAAAAATTTATGTTTTAAAACATACGAGCTGACACTTTAATTTATAAATGAATTTTGATTACTTTGACTTCCCATATCTCTTAAATCAATAATAGGCTCAACTTGAAAATTGTTTGTGATTGATGTCTTATTATAAGCTATCATTTGACACACAATTCAGTTCTAAAATTTCGGGCCAAAAACGGACTAAAAAAAACTTCCGAATTTTTTTTTAAACTTTTTCTAAATGGTTTTTATTTTTTCCTACTTTTTCAGTAAAATTTGTTTACGTTCCTGACAAAACAAAGACAATAATCTTTATTGGATTATTAATATATCTGTAGGTTTCAAAAGTATAGCTAACAATTAATGTATTTAAAAGAAACTCTAAATGAAAAAGAATTTAGATTCTGATTATCGATCAAGATATTTTCTATGAAAATACAAACGCGGCAAAAATTTACGTCGCGGACAGGCTTCGCGAGTTTCCTGCGGAAAGAGTTCAGGAGGTCGCAGCAAATTTCACCTAGTGGCCGCGATTCGTCGACAGCTGAGATGGAAAAGGCGCAAAAGAAAAGAAAAAAATAAGAGAAAAGGGAAATTGGATATAGAATCGGAGTAGTTGCTCCGTAAGAACATGCATCGTTGGCAAGGTCGCGTTGGAGGAATTACTAGTCGCAGACGCCGACAAAATATCTTCGCCGTTATCTCGCTTTGATCATACTAAAGAAAGTGCGGTTGCCGGTTTGCGCTAAACCTCGTTTTGCAAGGTGCGCTCCCCTGTTCACGTTCAGTTTCTGTCTTCGGAGTCACCTAGGAGTTTTCTGTGAAAACTGCGTTCAATTTGTGCAGCGATTGCCAATCGAATGCGGATCGATAATATACAAGCAGTTGAAAATAGTTTTAAGAAAGTTAAACGATTTCCAATTTCCTTATGTTATTATACAAAAAAATTTTTTTAACTTCTTGACATGAAGAAAACACACAACATTGTTGATAAAAATCAACATTACTTCTCTTATAAGATCGATAATTATTATAGTTCATCGGTTGAAGCTGAGTGCGCTTTTTTTCCGTATTGCAGTTATTCATTCACAATAGTTACGGAAGTTTATAACTGCAATAGAATTTATCGTGTCATTGATTATCGCGTAAAATTGTTAATCTCAACTTGATGTTCTTTAGACAAACCATCTTCAGATCCACCAGCGATGGCATATGTAGCTCTCCGAGAGATAATCGAGCGAGCAGCCGAAGAAGCTAAGAAATTGCCGGGATTAAGTGCGTCAGTGGATATCGGACATTCTCATGAACATTCTCCTATCGCGGAACACAGTTACGAGGATCTTCTCGCCACCGCGATATTTAATAAGGTAATTTCGATATTCTAGAATAGTTTTTTAAATACATTTTTATCACTTTTATTATTACATTATTTCTATTATATTTGTTATTACATTATTTATTTTTACATGTTATTTTACAGTTCTGAAATTATTTTGTTCCAAATTATATATAATTTTATCTTATTAAGGTAGTACTTTTGCGACAGTTCTATCCAAAAGTTGGAGTTTTCTTATTAAAAAGAAAGTTACAATACGTATTTATAATATTACATACAAACTTTGAAGTTTAATATATTAATATCTTATTGATAAAATATATCAACTCAATGTTCAATAATGATTCAAAAGTAAACGATCAATCATGTATTTTGGCTTACTGGAATAAAGTTTTGCGGATATATATAACCAGTGTTGCGCTTAGATAATTTGAAATAATCTAGATACAGATTAGATAAAACATACGTATGTATCTCAGATAAGATAAAGATAATCCGATTTGATCATATCTAGATAAAAGATGATTTAGTTGAGATTTTTACCTAGATAATTTTAAGATATTAAAGAAGTTGGGAAATTAAATAATATATCTCAAGAAAATCTATAGAAAATAAGCGTATATTTTGATATACATTATATTTAATATAATGTACATTTGAGTATAATAAGCATATTATAAGTATGTAATAAGTAAATTACATTTATTCTATATATAAGGTTAATGCCCAGATAACCAAGACTGAGTGATCATATTTTGCAAAGTCTGCAATAACACATTATGCCAGTACAATGTAGCCAGCATTCAAACNTAATCTGTTATTTCAACTAGTGTCGACAGAAAAACAGAAAAAAAAAAGAATATAAATATGTGTCATGCCGTGATGCAAATATTATTGCATCAATCAAGCAGAACTTGCTTAAAAAATGTAGCAGATTTGAAGCATAACGTGTTATTGTCATTTCATTCTTCATTTATTTCTATATTTTTGCTGTGTTGTTTTCTTTACGTATCGTGCCTACATAATTCACTCACAATGATGACACAGCTGAGTGGAATCTGCTGCAAAGTGCTGATTAAACCTGTGTGCATACTGCTGGCATACTGCTATTATTTGGCTATCGGGGTGTAAATATATTATAAGGTTTTAGTTTTTAAAAACAATAGTTTTTCAGATGTGCTATCGGATAAACGATTTTTTCGAGGTACAATTATTTGTTATCCTGTACTGAAAAGTCACATTCAGAGTGCGTACTCATTATCTTAGATAATTTACAAAAGATACTACTTTTTTTATCTGAGATACAGATAAAGATGTCATATATTTTAATTATTTAGATAAAGATAAAATAAAACAATTATCACATCTAGATGAACATCTAGATAATTTTATCTAGATAACGGAAAACACTGTATATAACCCTACCTACCGCGCCAAGTTTTTTTGCATTAAATATTTTTTATATTTTGAAAAAAGTAATATTTTTTTCTTTTGTTACATCTCTGTGTTCTAATAATAAATATAATCTTACCATACATAGTTATGTACTTAGGATTAGTTAATAATCAGAAAAAATGTTAAAGGGTAGTCTTATTATAGACACAATTATGTTATTGTATATTGTTTTTCTATAATTGTTATTCTATAATTGTTTTCTATTTTATATTGTCCTTCAAAATTAAAACAGGTTTTTAAAAAAAGAGAGTTTTGTAGTATCAAGAGGCACGATAGTGCCTCGCGCCAGGTTCACGCGCAACGAAGTAGCGCTCGAACTGCGTGAAGCCTATGTCACACTACGGATTAGGATTGAGATTGGATTGCAATTTGGCCAATCAGAGAGAAGATCACTAAACTTAGGATTGGTTTTCTTTTTTCTAATTGGTCAAATTTAAATCTAATCTCAATCCCAATCCGTAGTGTGACATAGGCTTGAGACGCACCGTGCCTATTAAGCCTGTTCTACATTGATCGCAAGCGCAAACGCAAGGAACAGGTCTGGTAGAATTGACTAATCGTATTGATCAAATCAGCCAATTGACCAGCGTGATTGGTCAATTCTACGAGATCTATACCTTGCGTTTGCGCTTGCGATCAATGTAGAATGGGCTTTACACGAAAAACTCATGCAATTAAATAGTGGAAAGATTTTCACGTGACAATATTTCAAGAACGACTAAACCGATCACTTTCGTTTTAGCCTCAATCGATTCAGAATAAAACATATAAAAACAGTATTCTCTTCTTTTTTTAGCCTGTGGTTTCAAAACAAAGATAATGGAAAAGAAACAAAATATGTGTAAAATTTAACTTTTAGAAACGTCATCATGTTCATCGTCGTGCGACCAAATTGTGTGCATGTTCGTATGCCTGCTGCCAGATGGTTACATACGAGCGCGTTGAACGAAGAAAAAGAAAGAAAGACAAGAAGTGTGAAAAAAGAGAGAAAGAAAGAATCCAGAGGCGCGGTAGTAGTCAGTGATGAAAGTTCTGGCAGGGTAGCACCAAGAGCATCGAGGTGGTGGGGGCACGCACACAAGCGCCGTCCGTGTGCGTGACGTCACGCTCGGCTGTTCGGTTCGTGAAACAGCGCAGACATACTATGTTCTGCCTCGCTCCCACCAAGCCCGCTACGCGAGCAAGACATTGAGGCCAGAAAGCAATGTTTTGTTGCGCGCTTGTAGCGTATGACAATATGACAACGCAAACTGCTTTTCCATNACTTACAATCTTGGAAAAAGTAGATAATATTATTGTTAAGGATGAGATGTTTAAATCTCAAGATGCATTTATTATTACATTTTTATTAATTCTTAGTAAAAGTTAACTGCAATAATTTTAAAGTTTTTAGATGATTGAAAAACATTTAATATATGTATATAAACTATATTATTAGTATTACTACTTTTTCTATATTTGTAATTTGTAAATCACGAAAAGAATCTACATTTTACACATGCACAATCCTAAAGTATTTAATAAAGTATTTTTATATAACATATCATATGAATATAATATATTAATTAATTGGATTTTGTATAATATGAAGTAAATATTTTGAGATTATATGTCTGAAAAATGTAGATTGTCTTGTTATAATTTACAAAACAAAAATATATAAAAAAAGAACATTAATAACTTTCAATATTCAAACAACTTTTGAATTCTTTCAGTTAACTCATATGTAATAATTTCAAAAAAAAATATATAATGCATCTTGAAATGTTTTACTATCATCAATAATATTACGTTCTTTTTTTCAAGACTGTAAATTTTGGAAAAAAATATAAATATATAAATATTGTACGTCTTTGAAAGAAAAATTGTGTGTAAAGCTTTGTGAGACATAAGTTAAATAAAAACATTGGTTTAATGTTATATGATATTTAATATAGGTTTTCAATCTCTTTTTTCACAAATATTCCATGGGATCTGGCATTGAGTTGCGTGGAAAAAAGATGGCCGTTGATCTTTAAAAATACTAACATCCCGTTATGAATTCAACTTTTTTCCATCTTTTTTCCACGCCACTCAATGCTAGATCCCATGGAATATTTGTGAATAAAGAAACAACATTTAAGGATATAAGTTCAAAAGAAGAAAAAATACAAACATCCCGTTAGATGAGTTCATTCTTGCTTTGAAATTCATCTTTCATTCTACGCATTTTACGTTTAATAATAAATATTACTCACAAATCTTTGGAGCACCAATGGGTTTTCCTTTGTCTCCTGTGCTGACGAGTATCTTTCTGCAAGATCTTGAGATTCAAGCACTAAGTAAGCTTAGTTTCACAACACCCTTGTATATCAGATACGTTGATGATATTGCGATGATGTCTCCGGCTGACCAATTCACCACTGTTCTTGATACTTTTAATTCTGTCCATCCGAGATTGCAACTTATTTTAGAAATTGGTAGTGGCGGTAGACTTAACTTTTTTTATTTAACTATAATAAAATCAAATAACATGTTGATTCATGATTGGTACCACACACACAGAGAAACCTACCTTTTCAGGTAGATATATCAATTACTATTCTAACCATCCTATAAGTCAGAAGAGGTCTATTGTCACGGGTCTGGTGGACAGAGTCTTTTTCCTTTCACATCCACAATTCCATAAAAAAAATTTCAAAATTATTTTTCAACTTTTTATGAACAACAATTACCCCATTAAATTTATCTTTGATACAATCAGCATCAGATTAAAACATAATTTTTTTAAGAACAACGATATTAAAAATTTCATTTTGGACACAAATTCCAATAAAAATTATAAGTGGCTCACCATTCCTTATATCAAAAACATAACCGAGAGAATGAATAACTGTTTACCTCATAACAATGATCCTAGGCTTGCTTTTACCGGGTTTAATAAATTGTCTAGATTGGTCAAAGTAATAAAAAGATCCTTTGCCTCCTTTGTCGAAGTTCAATGTGATTTATAGGATCAACTGTAAGGATTGTGATGCATCTTATGTTGTCTCTCAAACCCGCAGAATGTTGCAAACCAGAATACGTGAACATAAAAATTACATTAAAAGAAACACAACGCAAAATTCTGTTATTACTGAGCATAGAATCATATGTTCCCATGATTTCGACTGGGACAATATTGATATTCTGGACATGGAGCCATCATATTATAAGCGCCTTGTATCGGAAATGCTTCATATAAAAAGTCACAAAAATCCCTTGAATTTGCAAAGCAATACAGAATTGTTGGACATTAACTATTTAACGTTGATCGATAATTCGGATGTTTAACGTTGAGTTGTTTATGTGTATTTTTGGATAACAGTTCGCTCAGTCTCGTTTGGACCATGATTACGTTTAGTCATATTTCACGTGTTATGACAAAATTTTACATTCTTGACATCTTTATTTGACGTTTTACTTTTAATTTAATTTTTTAATTTTAATTTTAATTTTTCGAACATGTGTGCGTGACTGTTTTTTTTAAACATTACATTGAACAATTCGTACGTATATATAAATAATTTAACTTCATCAACTTATTGTATTAAAAATTTTATGTTTACTTTTTAATTTGTCTTATTATTAGATTTACATTGATAAAGACCGAATTCCCGGTCGAAACGTTTGTACAATTTCATTAATAAAAACTTTTGGATTTCAACATACATACAACAGTGTTTGCTGCTCCTATTGGCCTTCACATCTTACATTTTGAATCTATCTTGGATATTTGGAGCCTGGTTACTTTTTCGATTTTTAATAATGTTTAA